GTGGAGCCAGGATACAAATCTAAGTACCCAGAAGTTGATTCAATGTACTATCATCTCTGACATAAATCAAACTTGATTTTCATGGTGACTATATGATTTTTTTTCTCATGAAACTAATTTATAATACAAAGGCATAGAGTTCTTTGAATGGATAAAAGCCCATATCATTTTTAACACTTCTGCCAAGTATACTGCTATTTTTCTTCCTTGGTACAAAATATCCATCATTTCACCTTTACCTTAGAATGACTTCTCTTAAAAAAAAAAAAAAAAAAACTAATGTAATTAAGAGATAGTATCTTTTTTTTTATTGAGAAAGTGATTAAAGAGCTCAAAAATTTAAAAATGCATATTTTTTGTCCCTTAGTAGGCCATGACATAATTCTGCTAAAATCCGAAATAACTGAAAGTAAGAACATAGATAAACAGATACCTAAGTTATCTGCTACAAAATGATTAGCAAAGCTATCATTTGGAGTATTGCAGAAAATAGCAAATGTACCTAATAAATTCATACATCTGGCTAAGGAGATATCTAGAAAGAATAATTTAGTCCTTGCTGGTTTTGCTCAATGGATAGAGCATTGGCCTATGAACTGAAGGGTCCTGGGTTTGATTCTGGCAAGGGCACATGCCCGGGTTGTGGGCTCCATCCCCAGTAGGGAGCGTGCAGGAGGCAGCCGATCAATGATTCTCTCTCAACATTGATGTTTTTATCTCTCTCTCCTTCTCCTTTCCTCTCTGAAATCAATAAAAAGAAATATATTTTTAAAAGAATAATGTAATTGATTTATTTAAATGTCTCTGATAATATATGAAAATATAAAAATTAATTTAAAAATGAATTGTTGCCTTAGCTGGTTTGGCTCAGTGGATAGAGTGTTGGACTGCAGACTGAAAGGTCCCGGGTTTGATTCCAGTCAAGGTCACATGCCCGGGTTGCGGGCGCAATCCCCAGTAGGGGACATATGGGAGGCAGCCAATCAATGATTCTCTCTCATCATTGATGTTTCTATCTCTCCTTCCCCCTTCCTCTTTCTGAATTCAATAAAAAATATATTTTAAAAAATAAGTAAAAATGAATTGTTCTGTTTTAGAACAGAATGTAGACAAAATAATAGAGTGCCCACGACAGCCTTTCCAACCAAGGAAAGATTAACCTTAAAAAGCAAAAGGGCCATTTGTTTTACCAGCAAAATGGGTTTATTTGAGAATGGCAAAGGAATGACAATCTGGGACAATCCAACAAAGGAGAGCCATGGACAAGTCTGAAGTACAGAGGAGAGGGGTTGCTTTCATAAGGGAAAAAGAGGAAGTTAGGAGGGGCTGTTTTGGAAGAATTCAGGGCGATAATGGCTACTCATTGGCTGAGTGTGGCAGATTCTCATTGGCTGGACTATAACCAGGAGCCCAAACCTGAAGGCAACTAGCTAAAGAGGTTCAAGTGACAATTAAGGTGTTTTTCTGAGCAAGGAGAAATTCTTCTTTCCTCCAGCTATTTGTCTTACTGTTTGGGATCTCAGTGGCGGTTCATGAGAGTACCCCCTTCAGGGCTTCCTGACTCCATTTTAAGTAAGGTTTCCTTTATTTTTAAGAAGATTCAAAGATGAACAGTGGCCTCAGAGCAAAGAACAAAACCTGGACAGGAAAATGCAGTCTCAAGGTAAACAAGGAAAGGGTATAGCAATGGTATAGCTATGTGATCCTTTTTTAAGATCTCAGAAATATTTCAGAGCATTCCTCACTAACTTTATTTGCAAGCAACCCCACATTAGCCTCACAGGTGGCCCAAGGTAGAACTTGTCATGGAAAGAAGTGAGGGTGTGTCTTTTGTTTAATGGAGTGAAGACTGAATAAGAATCATAAACAACCTGACAGACAGAGAGAATTTGTGCTATTAGAAGCACCATGAGTTTAGACTAAAAAGGACAAGAACAGTTTAGAATTAGAAGTCTTGGTACCCTCAACCTTTGCACACAGGAAGCACACTAAGAAAGCTAATCAGCTACACACATGGACCATTATTTTAAGGAAGGCAAGATAACTCGGAAGGCTGAACCACGGTAACAGAGGACCAATTGGTGACTCATGGAATGAGAATGGGCCCTAACCAAGGAGCTGCAAGCATGTGCCCAGTTGAATTTTAGAATTACTGTGGACGATTCCCCCTCTTGAATAGAATTTTCACTTAAGGCTCTCCTATAAGTATCTCGATATTGTATGTTAGATGTGAGAAAGGCAGATAATCTGTTTCTTTATGCCACAAGACTTCTGATTAAGAGGAATAAAACTGGAGGAACTGTACCTGAAGTCTCTCTTTTGTACCTAGGCCTAATTAAAATGATAAGGTCCTAGATGTTCATACACTGCCGTAAGAGGATAAGATTTTGGTGAAGGGGGTTAATGTATTTTTCATGTGGAAAAAAAAAGTACAAATATTACCTGTTCAGAGGAATGATTATGCTAGATTAAAAACGGTTGTAAATCCTTCACAATTTAATTGAGAGATTCTTTTTTTTTTCCCTCTCTTTGAACCTGATCTGGCCTATGATTACTTTGACCAATGGGATATCCTAGAAGTGATGCAGAATTGATACTATATACTGGCCTGGGCCTAGACTTTAACAGGAATGGTGCTTCTACTGTGGACTTTTATAAACATAAGTAGCTATGTAAGAAATATAACTAGACTAGAAATCTGCCAGGCTAACGACATGAAGTGACTCTGGAAAAAGGGGTATGATGGGAATCAGCTGACACCCAGCAGTTCCAGAGGAGCCATATGTCACCTAGCTAATTCGGCTGATGTAATGGAGAAGAAGTAAACCCTACTTCCCCCTATATTAATCCCAGTGGCTTAAAATTGTGAGATAAAAATATGATAAATTGTTAGTCTAAGCCATTAAGTTTTGATGCAACAATGGATAACCAGAGCCCATATTAATTATATAGAGAAGATATTGTGGCTCGCAAAGAGCACAAAATGCTCACTGAAGGTCAGAAGTACTTAAATAATATTTTATATTCCCTATCATTGTCAAGCTCATTTATTGGAGTGCAATGGGTATGATTCATCAGAAAAGATGTCAACAATTTGAGTAAATATAATTCAATTATTTTTTTCAAGCAGATAAGGAGACTCATATTCAGTTTCTGATTACAATTCAAGCCTTCCTGGTCACTGCCAATCTCTCTTTGCCTGTCAGTATTATTGTTAGTATTATTAATACCCTGCTTGTTCATAGGTTTGTTTGTTTGTTTTTTTGCTATTTTGTTTGTTTTTGTCTCCAAGTAGAGAAATGTTTCTAGCTTATATGAATCAGCATTGCAATTTATTTCAAATTACATATATATATATATATATACACTAGGGGCCCAGTGCATGAAATTCGTGCACTGGGTGTGTGTGTGGGGGAGTGTCCCTCAGCCCAGCCTGCCCCCTCTCACATACTGGGAGCCCTCAGGCGTTGACCCCCATCACCCTCCAATCGCAGGATTGGCCCCTTGCCCAAGCCTGATGCCTCTGACAGAGGTGTCAGGCCTGGGCAGGGGACCCTCATTTCCCCCCGATCACTGGCTCTGGCCCCCGCCCAGGCCAGAGGCCTCAGCCAGAGGAGTTGACCCTCATCACCCTCCGATCACCAATCACCGGATCGGCCCCTTGCCCAGGCCTGACGCCTCCGCCAGAGGTGTCAGGCTTGGACAGGGGACCCCCATCTCCCCCCGATCACTGGCTCTGGCCCCCGCCCAGGCCAGAGGCCTCTGGCCCAGGAATCATACCTGGGCAGGGGACCCCCATCTCCCTCTGATCGCTTGCTCCACCCCCCGCCCAAGCCTGACGCCTCTGACCCAGGCTTCAGGCCTGGGCAAGGGGACCCTCATATCCCCCCAATCCCCGGCTCCGCCCCCCACCCAGGCCTGATGCCTCGGCCAGAGGAGTTGACCCTCATCACCCTCCGATCACCAATCTCCGGATCGGCCCCTTGACCAGGCCTGAGGCCTCCGGCAGAGGTGTCAGGCCTGGGCAGGGGACCCCCAGCTCCCCGCGGTTGCAGGCTCCGCCCCTGCCCAGGCCTAATGCCTCTGGCTGAGGCGTCCGGCCCGGGCAGCGGGGACCCGCAGCTGCAGTGGCCCCACGATCGTGGGCTCCGCTTTAGGCCCAGGCAAGGGACCCCTAGCTCCCGGGACTGCCAGCTTCAACCGTGCCCAGCTCCCATCGCTGGCTCCACCCCTACTTCCTGCTATCACTGGCCAGGGCGGCAAAGGCGCCTGATTCTCCGATCATGGCTGGGGCCGCCTTTGCCCTGCCCCCCAGCTCTTAGCTCCCCCCTGGGTTTCCGATCACTGTCAGTGGCAGGGGGCTTCTTCCTGCTTTCCCTTTGCCTCCCTGCATTGTGCCTACATATGCAAATTAGCCGCCATCTTGTTGGCAGTTAACTGCCAATCTTAGTTGGCAGTTAACTGCCAATCTTAGTTGGCAGTTAACTGCCAATCTTAGTTGGCAGTTAACTGCCAATCTTAGTTGGCAGTTAACTGCCAATCTTAGTTGGCAGTTAATTTGCATATAGCCCTGATTAGCCAATGAAAAGGGTAGCATTGTATGCCAATTACCATTTTTCTCTTTTATTAGTGTAAATATATATATATATATATATATATATATACACATAATTATAACTGTGTGTTTAGCTATATACTAGAAAAGTCACAAAATGATAGGTTATGAAAATTCATTTTAAAAAAAATTGTATGTAGCTCTTTCTCACGTGGTCTCAGCTCTGGAGATAGGCGGGACTGTGTAGAACATTCTGTTGTCACTAAGGTATCCATGCGCCTGCGTGGAAGGCAGTGAAACAGAGGAGGAAACAACCGTTACAGCCGTTGGCGCCATACTTGCCACCTTCCCAGATTGTCAGTTTCTCGGTGCTCAGTTTGTGGGGGCTCAAGCTGAATTCTCAAAGGCCATGAGTTACCCGTGCCCTCCTCTCAATGTGTTCGGCATGACCTGTGTTAAAGTGGACAACCTGAACCCGTGTACTACAACCAATAGCCTGCGGAATATCTTCCAGAAGTATGGGGAGATTGGAGATGTGTACATCCCACGAGACCGCTTTACTAAAAAACGTCGGGGCTTTGCTTTTGTTCGTTTCCTCAACAAGCGCCATGCTGAGAATGCCATTGCTGCCCTAGACGAGATCCTGGTGGATGGCCATGTACTGCGGGTAAATACGGCACGCTGCAGTCGCCTCCCAGATACCCACTATGGCAGCCATGGGGAAAATCCTGCGCACAGTTACGAAAGCTGGAGTCGCAGCCCAATGGGGCAAAGCCAATTCCAATCTCAAGGCACATATCTCTACAGCCATGAGAAGTCTCCATCTCGCTTTCCTGATGCATCTCCATCAACTTCTGAATCAACATCAACCAGCTGTTTCAAGCCCAACTTCTCCTGGAAATCGGGATCTTCCTCACTAACAACATTCAGACTGGGATCCAGAATCCTTCCAGAAGAGAAGTCCAGATCGCCACCCAAGAATCCCTTCAAGTCTCTTGGAGAAGAAGGAGCAGCACCTTACTAGGATAATGAGCCCTTAGCAAGTACCCTGACTGAGGACTTGGGAGAGGGGAGGAGAACAACTAAATTAGAGTCCTTGGAACGAGCTACTAGCTGTTGAAATGGTTAATCTTTAACATGTCTAAGTTTTTATTTGTTTTAATTTTGTGTCAAGTGGTAAATTTCATTTTACTTGGTATTTTGTTGCTGCTATTAAAGTATCTTCTAAGTTTGTGAGCTGGACAACTTCAAGTTGTTATTGGTTCAGATATTTTAGGTGCAATTTCATTTTTTGTTACATACTTTTTCTTTGAAAGTAAACAGATAATTTAATTTAGAGCCTCTTGATTTAAGAAAATGCAAGCAGCCCTCTTCTTCAATAGTCAGAAACTGTCTAGTGATTGACAATTGCATCATCCTTATAAAAAATACTCACTAAAATTGCTGTAAATTTATTTACATGTGGAGTTTACTTTTGGATCCAAATGGTAATCTGGACCTGCATTTCTATAAAAACATTTCAGATGAAAATAATTTATTTTTCAGGGGTTATTTATCAACACAGTTGTAACCTCTTTTGTACTTTTGTGCACTAGACATAGTAGTATAGCAATTGAGTAATGGTGGCTAACTGTTTAAATGGTGTTTCATAGTGCTGAATGGTTGGAAATCTCATGTTTTACCCTGATTGCCCCTATGTGAAGGTTATGTGCTGTGCAGAAACAAATAGCTATCAAGTTTATTTAAAATTCTGACAATTGCACTTCTTGTACCCATGCCTTGCATATATGTAACAGAGCATACAGTAAGCACATTTAGTAGATGATAAAGACACCTTTATTTTTTCCTCTTATCCCCAAAGTGGTAACACTGTTCATCTATGAATTTAAGTATATAAAATGTTAAGAAGCGAATTATTTTTACCTTTGTAAGTACCACTAACATACTGTATCTTTTTGCTTATGCTATACTGTAACCACTTTCTGAAATTTAATTAAAACAATTTTCCTGGAGTTTTAAAAACTAAAATTGTTGTGATGATATTCTCATTAATAAAAATTTGAAACAAAAGATATTGAGGTCATTTGTCTCAAATATTTTATGAATAAAAACATCAAGCAACCTAAGCTAAAATCAGTCACATCTGCTACTACTACACAGCTCTGATCCCCACACTTGTCATGACCTTAACACTAGCTCTGCTCCAAATCTTCTTGAATTGCCTGCTATGGCTCAATACTCCATTTCAACTTATTGGCTTTGAATTGATGTTTTGAGAGACAGTGATCCCTACCCTCACTTTGGAATTTGTACCTGCTCTGATTCGTGTGCTTGTCTTTTAGCTCAGCATTGCTGGTACTTTAGCCCCACTCAACCTTTTTCTCTTTATTTCATGACTGCCAATCCCCCAATCTGGTTCAGGCACTATTTTTACTTCCACTGCCCAATTCTCTTTGTCTGAGCAACTGACTAAATCAAACTTTTAAAAAAAGAGATTCAACATTCTGAGTTTCAAAAAATAGTCTAGAGAGATTAAATGATTGGACACACAGTGGACAAATGATTAGACTTCAACCTGGGTCTCTAAATTCTCAGTCCAATCATCTTTCCTATATACTGAATTCCCACAGTATATTATATTTAAATACATTGAATTGAAATGATGTTTGGGAGCATCAATTGTGATGTTTGGGAAAAATGTTTTTAAAGCCTTTAAAGTAGACAATAACTATAATGTTGTAGGAATTAGATGTTTGAAATGAAGTACATGCATTCACATTGCACAGGAAACTTCAAAACTTAAGTGCAATTGACCTCTTACTAGTATTTAGAAACTACTCTTAAGCCAATGGTTACTAAGCTAACCAAATATCTGTTTAAACTTTTTAAACACACCACGCATATATGCGCTTGTGCACACACACCTACTCACACTCATGAAGACTGCTAAACTTATGCTAATAATCTCACCAGGGAGCTAATGGGTTACATTATCTCCCTCTTTATTAAGGTAACAGTGAAAGACATTTTACTTCCCACCAGGACCATTTTGTTTCTTAATGTAAAACAAATGTTCAGTGGTACTTTACTTCAGGATATTTTCTCTTCATCAGAGAATTAAATGAGTATTATTGGGCTAAGGTACCAGAATATAATGAATAGTAAATATATGTAACACATACAAAAATAGAGTTATTTTGAAAGGACCTCATAGTAAATAGAAATAGGAAACAATCACATTTAATTCATAATCAAATGGAAGTGATTCTTCATTTCTTTCAATTCAATTATACACAAGTTCGGTGCCTAATACTTAGTTAAAAAATAAATGACAGAAAAATCTGTTTTCTTACTTTTTTCATAAAAGACTAAATTCAATTAAACTTAAGTTATATAAACATGTTAATTTTATAGACTGGACAATAGCCAATGAGTCTTACATTGAAAATTTATTAAGAATTACTTTTTTGACATCTGATTAGATCGCTGATCATATTACTTTCCTGTTGCAATTATAAGGATCCTTCCATGGTAATTGACAGAAATCCTTCGCAAGCTTAAATTTAAAAAAATAAAGCACACTGGTTTATAGATCTAAAAATCCTATGACACAAATAACTTCACATATTTCTCAATTTTTTTTTTTCTTGGGTATATGGCTCTTTCACCATCTTTGTTTTCCTCTGTCTCTTTATGTTGATTTTCTTCATGTTCATGAACACAAAATAGCCATGAGCATCTTTAGGTTTATATCCTACCAGCTTATCAACTACAGTGGAAAATAATTTCTCATTTTCTTTAGTTTTAGCTAAACTCAAATTTAACTCATAAATGCACGTTTGGTCACATGGCCATGCTTAAAACAATTATGATAACCAGCAATTTCAGATATGTTAATTGGACATAGATGCATCATATGTCCTTTCCTTTAGCCAATCTATGGCAGTGAATTCAGTTAAACTTAAACCAAGTGAACTAAGGTTAGAGAATAGGATTTTCCCCAGGAAAATCAGGTTGTTATCATTATAAGTATATTAGGTTGATGCTAAGCAGCTAAAAACAAAATCCACTGCTTATTCTAAAAAAATAACAAACATTTTGTCCTGCTTGTGTGACTCAATTGGTTGGAGTATTGTCCATGTACCAAGAGGTTGCAGGTTCGATTCCTGGTTAGGGCACATACCTAGGTTTCAGGTCCAATCCCTGGTCAGGGCAAGTATGGGAGGACAACCAACCAATCTCTCTCTCTCTCTCTCTCTCTCTCTCTCTCTCTCTCTCTCTCTCCCTCCCTCCCTCCCCCCTCCCTCTTTTTAAACATATCTCTGGGTGAGGATTTAAAAATAATACAATTTTTTTTCAGCAGTGTTCTATTTCACACACACACACACACACACACACACACACACACACACACATTCACACACAAAAATCAAAGGTCAATTTATACTTTGTGTCCCTTATTCCTTCTGCAATTAATTTCACAACATTTCCACCCAACCTCAAAATTCTGGCCACAGTTGCCCAAACAAGCCAAACACTTTTAAGTATATTCCTTCTGCCTGACATAGTCTCTCTTTACCAACACTTACCCAACTGCCAGTTTCCATCTGTGGAAACTCATAATAATAGTTAAAGAATCAGATTTAAATACAATACCTCTGTGAGACATTTTCCAAATCCTATTAGATAATCATCACATCGTCCTCACACTTACACAATGCTACATATATAAATCTATTACAGCATTAATATATTTTATTTTGATATTTTCTATGTGATGTTTCTCTCACCTGGAGTGTGAATCACTTGGGAGTACAGACTGCTGCAACAGTTAACATATCTGTACTGGCTAGGGCAGTAACTGACTCAATTTATGCTCAATGTACTAAATAAGTGAAATGGAATAATATCTCAAATTTAGCAGGCAAATATTATCATGAATAACTTAAATGAAGGATTTCTAAGCGTATGTTAAGTGATATTGTTAACATTAATGAGTCCAGAAGCTCTCAGAGGTGTCCTTCAGATAGTATTCAAATGAGCATTATTTTTACCAAGCCCTCTTGGCTGCACTAACATACTTGGAACAAAATCAGCAAAGTTAACACTCATTACAATAGGCAACATAACTATTATGGATCTGTTTAAAAAGTGACTGTGATGTTCTGGCTAGCTTTGTTTAATTGATATTTATAATACTTATGAGAAAGGAAAACAAAAATGAAATGCAATGCATTTATGGAGAATTCCTTAAGGCGGGGGTGAGAACACCCAGTCCGTGGGCCTATAAGGCCTGTAAAATCATTTGGTTTGACCCTACCAAGGCATTAGGGGTGAGTTAATTAAATGTTTGACCAAATATAGTAAGCTAATTTTTAAGTTGGTAATTTTGTATGGTCCAAGAATGATGTTATAAATATCCAGATGGCCCTTGACAGAAAAACGGTTCCCCACCCCTGCCAAAAGGGATTCTCTAGGTGCGAGAAAACCTGCCAAAATTTTAATTAATGTATTTAATTTATTTTTAAACCAGGAGCTTGATAGATTATGTAATGAAATATGAGGCCACTAAGAGTTAAAAAAAGGAGAGGACTCAGTTAAGCAGATTTAGCTATGGTCCAAGTAAATTACCAAAAATTGTGGGCTTCCTTAGTGAGTCTCTATGATTTAAGGAATTATTAGGAGAAAAGACAGAGGTACCTGGGCACCTGAAAATGAGAATTGTTGCATTTAACTATGACTTTGGCATGGCATATTGAAGGAGGCAGTCATATGTAATGTAACTAGCTGCATTTGGGTTCTGTAATTTAACATACAAATAACTAGAGCATATAAGAGCCTGAAAAAGCTTCCTGAAAGCCTGAGAATGAGCTCATGTGGGTTAAAGGAGATAAAGGACTGCGCTTGGTATACAAGAAGCCCTCTTCAATATTTGCTGGTTTGGAATAAATTGAAACCTAACCTGAATGTGGTCGCTATTTGTTACCCATGGAGAAGATCATGGTTGCCTAGGCAACAATGACT